AGGTCTGTCAATCAAAAAGGATACCCCAAATCCCCCAGAAAAATAAAAACTGCCCCTGTTAGGAGGGGCAGGATACCCTAAAGTGAAGCTATGCATGAGGGTGGGGGCTGTGTCAAAAGTGAGGGGCAGGCTCACCCAAGCACCCAACAGGCTGGGCAGGGATTGGGCTTTGTGTCCCTGATCTGCCGCCCAGGACCCATGTGGCCTCCACTCTTTTTTCAGCCACTTTCACTAAGAAAGTAAACTTGGTGGCTCTGCAGTTCGCCCCTGTGTCAGGACCCCTGCTGGTTCAGAGGTAGCACAGAGTTTCTCCCCATTTCTGCCCCCGTGAGAATAAGTGGCCAGGCTCAGGGCCTGGCAGCAAAGTACATGCCTTGCTAGAGCTATCAGAGCTGTGAGAGTCTAGTGAGCGTATCTGTGTCCACACCTTCCCAGTATTAGCCTGGATGCCTTAACTTCCATTCCTCAGGTCTCAAATCTAAGAATAGACAGTCTACAAAAGCTCAGGGAGATTAATGTCCTCAGTGATACAGGTGAGCACAGATGTGTGCACTCACACACACAGGCTCTCCATGGCAGGCCTTATTTGGAGAAAATACTAAAATACTGCATCCAAAGCTGGACCCCTACACCAGCATCTCCTGCAGGCTTGCCATCTCAGTGAATGACAATTATACTTCTCAGGCTTAAAGCTCTGCTGTCAGCCCTGATATTCCTTTACACCCGACATCTGGTCTCTCAGTCAATGCTGTGCCTCTCCCTTCCAGACATATCAGCGCTTGACCACTTCCCACACCTACTCTGCTATCCCTGGCACAACACCCCAGCAGTTCTCTCCAGTCTCCCAGCCTTCTCTAGTCTTTCTCAGCACAGCAGCTGGGGTGCATGTCAGATTAAGTCATTCCTTCGCTCAAAACTCTCCACTTCTGAATAGAAGCCCAAATCTGAGCATGATCTGCCCACTCCCTGCCTCCCTGATCTCCTATTACGCTCCGCGTCTTTATCTCCACTTAGCCACAATGGCCTCCTCACTACTCAAAGCCACTAGGCACGCGCAGGCCTCAGGGCTTTTGCACGTGTTCTTGCCCATGCCTGGAATGCTTTTTCCTCCCCAGGTATTGACCTGGATTGCTCCATCCATTCCTTTGGGTCTCTACTCAAAGCTCACTTCCTTTGAGACCTTCTCAATTACCCTACCTGAAAGTTAATCCCTCCCCTCCCAAGTTATAGCCCCTTTCCTTGCTCACTTTTCCTTCTAAACATTTATCACTAACATATTTATTTATTTATTTATCTTGTTTTTTATTGGATTTCTCCCATAATATATGAATCATGAGGGTGGGAAACTTTTTGTCTATTTTGTTCACTGCTGTGTCCCTAGCACCTAGGATGATGCCTGGCACATGGTAGGCATTCAGCAGATACTTGCTGAATGAATGAATGAATGAATGAATGAATGAATATAAAACCAAAATGGTAATTCTACAGTAATCAGGAATCAAAGATCACCTGACTACTTTGGAAATAGAATCTGTTACCGCAGTGGTGACCAGGTCAGCTCAGACTTCAAAAGGCCTAAAATAAGCGCTATAAAAAAGGATCAAAATAATCTAAGAGTCCCAAACAATGGGGAAATTCTGCATGTTTATGTTTTAAAATGTAAACTTTGACAGATGTGAGAGATGTAATAGGCAGGAGACCTTGGTCTCAGGTCAGGAAACACTGAACCACATTAAGTATTGCATAGAGGGGATTTCAGTTACAAACTCAGTATCACTGGTGTCGGAGCATGGAAAAAGCGAAAAGGGACACCTTGGTCACCCAGAGCTATAACCAACAGGAAGTATCCATCTTTGTCCCTTCAAGTTAGGGCATAAGAAAGAAACGGGTGGCTACATCAGACTCAGATGAAGAAGAGGACAAGTCAAGAGACCAAGATTCCAAGGAGAAAAGATGGAGAACAGAAGCAGGACAAGTCCTGAGGCTAGACTCACCTAAACAGAAGGCCAGGAAGGTAAGCTAGTGAGCACTGTGCCTCAACTCCACGCAGCGGTTTAAGTATCTCTGCACATGTGTCACCATGCAGCATACAAGGCCCACTGACAGTCGTCCAAGCCTAACATCACAGTGTATGTGCAGAAGAGAGAAAAATCGTCTTCTCTCCCCTCTGCAGAACAAATATCTCCCCCATTACAATACTTGAGGGATTAATAGAAAGTGCCCTGCATCCCTTCAACTGTGTGCAGATTCAAAGTAAATTGGGGTCAAGGCTTTCACACCCTCTGAGGGTGTTCAATCGTACATTTACAAGAGCTACCAGCATGCTGCCAACAAGAGCTCTGAAATCCAGATTTCCTCACAAAGACTTTTAATGAAACTAGAGAACACAAAACTAACCCAGACAATAAATATTTCAATAAATTTAAACCAAGGAAATCTGATGGGAAATTATACTGAAAAAAAAAAACAACTGGTATTTCCAATACAACACACACATCTCGTTGTCTTTTGTATTGTTTGTATATCCAGACAATCTTTTTATGCAAATAATAAACCTGCATGGAAATAAGGTGGATTCTTCTTTTGCATTACTGTGATGTATTTTACTAGCAAATGATCTTCCTTTCCTGAGAAAGGAAAAGGACTTTCCTTGGATTGTATAACAAACTCAGGTAGTGGAGGTGGGGAAGGACCAGCCTGCCTCCATGCAAAGAATCAAGGTCTAGATAGAGAATTAAGGTCACACCTCCTCTGGTCCCAGGCCTCCATTTCCCCTCCAGGAAGCACTGAGCCTGCCCTTGCAGTCCAGCCAAAGGTGCCAACAGTTCCATCGTGGGCCATTTATAAAGTCCCTTACACCCAGCTTCTGGTCCTTATCTACACCATCCCTGCTGCCCCTACCACTACCACCATGTCTAATAACCTAGTTTGAATTTTTGTCCTTTTTAGATAATTGAAAGCAGCTATCATATCCCTTCTGAGTCTTTTCTCCCCAGTGATCACCTTCTTCCTAAACCTTTCTTCACTTGAGGTACTCTCTGTGTGTCTACAGCTCAGAACCCAGAACTGACCTAGCATGAATCAAATGAGCACAGAAGCAACAGAGCCAGGGGCATGTGCAAGGTGAGTCAAGTGCCTCAAAATCACCTCCATTCTGCTCCAGGTAATACTTTTCACTTCCAAGTCTTGAGGTGGCTAAAGCCATACCCTTCCTCCCCACCCACCATCTACAAGTCTCACCAGAAGCAGCTGATACTGAGGTGAACAACGAGCATTAACAGAGGGCTTAGTGGTGCTAGACACTCTATTCTGCATTTTAATCCTCACATACACAAAAAGTAGGCAATAGGTACTATGTTACAGGGGAGGAGCCAAATGGGGTACCGGGGGTAACAGCTGAGCTGAACCACCTAACCAGAGTGAGACCTGGAGGGCAGAGGGGAAGGCAGGGCTCTGGCAGCTCTAAGGGCCTCCAATTTGTTTGTAGCCCCTAAGGGCTCCAATTTGTTTATGGCCCGCCTTGTTTTAGAAAGGATGTAAGTCATTGAATAAACTGCTGTTCTTTCAATTAAGCTTTCTTGACTTGAGCATTCACTTGCCAAATTAAAAAAATATAATAACATATACCTCCAGATAGCAAATCCAAAGAACACTGCTGCCATGCTTGAAATAATACTAAACTTATATCCAGAATGGCTACAGATGTGAGAATCTGGGAAGCAAAGAGAAGCCTGAAAGGCAGGCTGTCTCACTTGGGGCTTTCAAATTTGCTGGCTTTGGGAACCTTTCCAAACGATGTGTCTGCCAGAGGATGTGTCATGGGAACTGAGCTAATGATCCATATAATTCACAGTCTAGGGTGGGGGGCTATCACCAGGCGTAGGTAGAGGTTAAGACCTCAGGCAGACCTGCAGCTAAGGAGACTTGTTCTATCTAGCTCACAGTGAACTTCAGTAAATGCCCCCAAAGGAGCCACCAGGTCTCTGCTTAGAGAACAGAAAGGAAGGCTTCTGGGCGATATGTCACCACGCTGCAGGTGATCGATCACACAGTGGGAACAAGGGGAGGGGGATTTCACAGAAGCCCTACAGACTTCCCTGGCTCCTTCTCTCTCCCGCAGCATTTCTTCTCATCTCAACTTTAGCCTCTCCTGCACTTTCTTCCCTCTTCCAACCTCCTCTCTACTTGGCCCCCAAAGGGCAGTCCTGGGGTGGGCGTCAGCCAGGCAGTAGAAAATAGGAAGCCACAGCAGTTCTCTGAAAACGCGAGTCCCCACAAATTAGGACGAGTCACAAGGCCGGGAAGGAGGCCACCGCAGTTAATCAAACCCGAATGTGGATCCACCCCTGGGGTGGAAAACGAAGTTTTCCCCTGCAGCTGCCCATGGGGCGGCCCCTCCCAAGCAGTGACAGAAGGCTGCGTGGCACCTCGCACTCAGGCTCCTCTGTCACTAGAGAAAAGGCGCGGCCCTACCCAGGGGAGAACTCTGAGGGGTGGCTGCCAGACAGGACGTGAACCCCAACTGGACACTGTCGTCAACTCGTCATAAACGTTTCTCTAGCCCCCTACTACTCCTGTCAGGGCGAGCCAGAGGGTTGCAGTCAACCCTCCCTAGGGTGAGGAGGGAGGCGGCCGCCACTCCGGAGCACGGGCTGAGGCTGAGTGTCCTGGGACCCACCCCGACACTGGCCGCTGCACTGGTACTGGTCGGTGACTCGCCCTCGGAGACGGTCAGGGCAGCCCAACTGCTGAGCTCGGCTGGGAATGCCTCGGGGCTCCATAGGCCGACTCCCCGGCCTCTGACCACAGGCGCCCAGGGCGCCCTTCATTTGGGGGCGGAAGGTCGAAGTGTCCCTTGTCCACAGCCGGTGACGAAGGGAAAAGCCGCAATATCGGTTTAAGTAACTTCCCTCTGCCTTTCCCTCCTCCCTTAACTGCACTTTAAAACGACCCCGCAATCACGTTTACTCCAACACCCCCATCCAAGGCGGCCCCCGCACCTTGGCGCAGCGGCGCGCGCGCCAGCTCGGGCCGGTCCTCAGGGAAGGCGTCGCGGAGGCGCTGCCACAGGCGGCCCAGGTCGGCGAAGCTGCGGTGCAGGTAAAGCACGCTGCGGTCCGACCACTCGGTGCGGATCTCGAAGAACTCCTCCTCGTCCCCGCGCCGGCTGACGATGAGCCTGCGGATGCCGTTCACCCAGCAGCCACGCACGAACATGTTCACGAGCGAGGTGCCCTCAAACACCGCCGAGGCCATGCCGCGGGCCGCGCATGCG